TGGATGAAGACCTATATGATGTTATCCAGATTAGCCCCAAAGAAAAACCTGTTGCCGCTGTCAGCGCTGTGAAGAACAGGCAACGAAAACAGATAAACTCGAGTTTAGATGAGCAGCCTAAACGGCCACCAAAGGGCAACAGGGCGCACGAGGTGAATACAGTCAATAAATTATAGAGCTGCTGTCCAAACTAATGTGCTGAAAATAGTTCCATTGTTTATTTCACCTCACTGACTTTTAGAAACGTGTTTTGTAAAACAGGAAGGTCCGCCGTTGCCTCGAAGGAGCAGGCACCTCGATAGTGCCACCATCAACGAGCATGAGGGGGTTTTGTACGCCCAGCTCAGGAAGCAGTCGCCAAGGGTTACACCCAGAGACCAACACATGCATCAGGACATTTTACCCAGACCTAATTCGAGTTCGACTTCCAAGGATCAAATCAATGGCAGATGTAGTCCTCCGTCACATCCAGAATCCGTTTACTCGGAGCTCAGCATCCTAGACAGCAAAAGCAGGTCTCTGCCACTCCTGGACAGCAGTTCTGACGGGGAGCAGTCTTACAGACTGAAAGCACCTCCCGACACCCCTCCGAGACTTTCCCCCAGGCCAGTCAGACAAGGTAACGGCAGCAGCTCCCAGTCAGAGAGGACAGATTTGGGCAGCAGACCAAGCAGCAGCCACAGCCTGGACTACTTGAGTGATAATGCAGTTTATCACCTGGCTGGCAGGCCCGGGAGCCCACACACTACGTCCTTTGACACTAGATTGTCAATACCAGAGGAGCGCACAGATTCTGTGTATGCCGAGGTCCCTGGCGAAGCCCCCGCTGACTTCACATATGAGCCGATTCGCGGCCACAAGGAACCAATCAACCCTAAAGCCAGCAGCAACACTTACGAACCTCTGGAGGACATGAGACGCAAACAGACCAACTCGTCCTGGGGATTTAAGGTTTGTAATGTTTTCAAAGCACTTTAATTAAAAGAAATAATTCTTTTGTGTGTCATACTTGTATTATAATGAATTTATTTACCTCTTACAGAACGACAAATGGAAGTGGCTCTTCCCTGAGAACAAGAAGAAATGGTAAAGAGGCTACTTTACAGCGTACTGAGGAAAACGTTTACTTGTTTTGATGATTTCACACTACTACTACATAATACACTCTGGAAAACCACTGTTATGTATTAACGATTTAATGAGAACTTATGTATGGTTTTTTTAACGTATTTATTTAAAAATATAACGATACGTGTGTAGTTTCCTTTCCACGAACAGGTTTTTACATGTGGTAAAAACTGTGTTACGTGTATGTCATATTAAAAGCAATCTACTGTATAAGAGGCTCTAAGATCATTATTATGCCATTACTGTTATTAGAATATTACTAAATAATTACTTTCGGGGTGATCATTAGGGTGGGGGAAATGTACAGCAGTGCCCTACGCATGTTTCAGGGGCCCCAATGAAAGTATGACTGTAAAGGGGGAAAAACCTGCTGTTCAGTCCACAGCATGTGATTCACCTTGAACTGCAGCTTATGTTGAGGAGAACTGTTTTCATCTACTTCTCATCAGTGCACATAAACCTGGGCGTATATGCTACACTTTCCTGTCAACATGTATCCTGTAGATGCATATATGTATGCAGATATGTCTACGGGCTGTAGGTAACGGAGAAGAGGATAACTGTGAAGAAATGAGGATGTGCGGTTTAGAGCTGCTGTGGAGCGATGACAGCATTTCCACGTGTGGAGCTCGAGATGCAAATAATAAATAAAAATAAATCAGGATACAACAACGTACAACTATTATCACTGCTATGAAAATGCTTCCACCTTTAGCTTGCCTTGGCCATGTAATGCACTCTGATTATGGTTTTCCATCGCTCACTTAAAGAGCATTCCCTGAAAACACTAAATCATGTTGTCACAGAAAATTACCATATGTGGAAATTCATCTCATGGCACCGTGTTTACAGTTGATCTTTAAAAATGTTACGTGCTGCTTCCGTCAGTTTTGCACATTCACAGGAAACTTTATTTGCATACAGTTTTCAAACGTCTGTTTGTGACACCAACGGGGAAGTGGGTTAAAGGTTTATTATCTTCTATCATTTACTTTTACTTTTTTAATTATACTTTTACTGGGGCCAGTAAAAGTACAATAAAGGGAATACTTAGTGTATATCTTTCATGGTTATCCTCTGAAGCAGTAAAAAGAAAAAAAAGGGGGAGAAAAGTAGAGCTATTGTGTCGTTTCATGTAGGACAGTGTGACAGATGTTAGGAAATAAGCAGTTCCTGGTTTAAGTCAGGCAGTGCAGACTAGGATATGCTAAAGCTCTTGATAATCAAACATTCAGCTTGGCAGATCATTAACTTTGTGGCATTTCTGTCGCCTTCTGTTTCACAATTGAGATCTACATGATAAAGCGTCACTGGAAAACATGGGGTAATGATTTTAAAAACTTATCAAAGACAAGAGTCATAACTGCCTGACTGTATTTCTGCACATCTGAAAGCACACTGACATAACAAAATGTGTAAGGTTGACAGCGATTAAGCAGTACATTCTTACAATTATATAAATAACTACTTTATGTAGCATTAAGAAACACTTAAGGGTAACTGATGTGTTTGGCAGGCATTGCATATTACACCGTTACTAACAGCACAGTGTATTATTGTGTTTAAAGCTCGTGAAATTGTTGAAGCTTGAAGGTTTATTGTTGATCGTATAATAAATGTAAATTGCATTTAAGTTCTACCTATTAGTGTGAGAGCTTTCACCCACATGTCATTAGTGTCTTTATCTCGATAACGTTTTCTCAGTTGCCATAAAGAATATTCGAAACAATCGCAAACACACAGCTTACTCACTTAACGCTGTCACTGATTATTTGTTATGGTTTATGTACACTTTTGAATGTATATTTGGTTCAAGTGAAGTGTTTGGAATTGTTCACAAGTTATTTCATTTTTAAAGAAAAGCGAGAAATCTTCACCGCTATGCTGTCGAAGCAAAGCGAGAGAGTTTAAATCAGATCAAATTGAGCTCTCAAGCAGCGAAACCAGCGTGGGTTTCACACCCTGTTGGGCCGCTCTCACCCTCAGAAACAGTTGCTTAAAGTAATGGCTGTTTTACAGCATCATAATCACACTGCAGCAGAAAGTGGCTCTGCCGAGATCATAACTAACAGATGTTCCCTGTGACACCCGTCATTAATGAAGCTCTGCAATCAGCACTCTACTGCCCTGAATATTTGATGCTGTCCTCATAAATGAATCTTCAGATAAGACACTGAAGAATTAACTAGCTGCTCTGGTGATTGCTTATTAAACTGAACACAACAGCTGAACAGATTTTAACTGTCAGTTAAAATAAGGCCCTCAGTATCCCCTCTCTTCATTTTTCAGAGTACAGTTGAGGAGAATTCATTCCATTTACTGCTGCACTTGTGTTTTATCCAGATGAGGTGTTGCACATAAACATGGAGTTTGCTCAGATGCACCATGCATACCTTTTCTGCCTGTTGTCTGGGCCTGTGGTGGCATAGGAGCTCACAACACTTTACAGTTTGTGTTACCAATACCAAAATGCTTTCCACAAAACACACAACATCAAACAGTATCTCTGCGTGTGACTTTTCTGTATTTGAGCCCCTCAGCACTTGGCCAAGGCCGTCTTTCAACTTGTCAAGACCATTTTGCAATCATTGCACTTGCCAAAAAGAAAGAAAAATCAGATTTAAGCCTCAGCCGACCCAATCTCCTTAGTGACTGTGAAGGTCTGCATGTATGGCTATACCTATCAACCAATTCTGCAGTACGACTCATGAGAACTACCGAGCTAAACATGAAATCTAAAACACAATACACCATGTGTAACTGATGCAAATCTGTATCCTCCAGCCAAGAAACCACCACATGTTAATCATCAACCAACATAGCCAAAACCATTTCCTCCAGCTTTCTGCTGAAGTTAGCCGAATGTGCAGGATGTTCAGAGGCTGGTGAACGCGAGGCAGCTCTGTCTTAATAATCACATCCTCCCTAAAAATATATTATAGCTCACATGAGAGGCTAAGCTGAAGCACATGCTTCCTAATTTTTAATGTGCAAACATCTTCATATTTTGTTATGAGTAAATTACAAGTGCATTAAGTCAGAGCACACTGGAAAACAACATTTATTCAAAGGAAGACAAATACAAGACATTACATGAAGTCCTATAAAATACATATCCAAAACATGGCAGTAACTGACATCTTGTGTAAATGGCAGATGATGAAAGCTACCACAAAGAGTTTGGATGACAAAGCCCTTCATCTAACTGGAGAACAGTACAACATGACTGTCATTATATCCAAGCAAAGTACGAGCACAATAACAACATAAATACTTAATTTATTGCATAGCTATAGAATATCCCCTAATCCTGCTGCTGTGCTTCAAGTTTTATCTGTAGCTCTATAAATACTGGATGTCTCTGGAGGTGCCACTGCAGAAAGACTTCACAGGGAATCATGTGCAATGTAGTTTCAATGATAATGGTTTTGAAAGTGTTCCTGAGACCAAGCAATGATATTCACTGCTGAATTATGTCTGGTTTTAATACAGTGTGCCGTTCAGTATTGGTTTTTAGTTTTGTCCTTGCATAGAGAGACATCTCTTTGAGAAGACAACATCTTCTCTGAACTTTTGATTAGATTATGTAGTACAATTAATAGCTAATGCATTTCTCTGAGTTGCTCTTTTTCATTATACCCGGTCACATTACTATTTAACTATGATACTTGGTAGCTGTGATTATTTTTTTGTCTTAGTCAGCTTTTCATTTCATTTTGCTGTCATCAGAATCCATCTTCTCAAGTTCCGACTGCAGTAAAGGTCAGAGAGGGACGATGGATAGTGACAGACAACCACTGTGCTGTGATCAGGACATGGCTCAGGTAAAGTCTTGAGGTCCAGCCAACTTAGAAGCTGTCCATCCAACCCTCTCAGATTCTTATATGAAAGGTACTGAAAAAATAATAAAGTTGATTATTAGAAAAGTAACAATTACTGTGCATGAAACATTTTTATCCTTTACTCAACCTGAGAAATAAGACTCTTCATTTTTAAAATGTCATTTGCGAGAGTGTCCTGGCCAAGACAGACAAAATAACAGTTTAATCAACAGTGGTGACACAGACATTAATAGACACATAATTAAACACAATGTAAAATACACAAAATAAGTTTAAGCATATACATAAGATTCAATTCAATTCAGGTTTAGTTATTTTAGCAGCAAATCACAACAACAAATAAGATAAAGACCTTAAAGTATTCTGGAGAAAGCCCCGACATTCAAACAATCTCCTGTGACCGTGCACTTGGTGACAGTGGAAAGGAAAAACTCCCTTTTAACGGGAAGAAACCTCCAGCAGAATAAGGCTCAGTAAGGGGCAGCAATCTGCTGTGATCAGCTGGGGAGGGATGATTATTCAAAACTGTTTAGGAGTGGGAAGGATTTCAAATTCAATTCTGTATTTAACAAAGAGCCAGTGAAGAGAAGCCAACATGGAATAAATGTGATCTCTCTGGCTCTTGTTCCTGTTTCTACATTTGCTGCAGAATTTGGATAAACTGAAGGCTTTTTACAGAAGTTTTAGAGCAGCATGATTAAATTACAGCAGTAATGAATACATGAACTGGTTTTTCATCATTTCTCTGTAAAGGGATAGTTCTAATTTTGGAGATACTGCACAAATAAAAGAAAGCAGTCATATCCTTTTCCTGGTCCTGTTTTTGACCCAGCGTTTTGAGTTTATTTTGGATTCATGATTCTTTCTTTTGCATGATGAAGATTGTTTTAAGTTCAAGTTTTGTACAGTTTAGTCTTGAGTTTAGTTCCTTTATTGCCTCTAAGGTTTATTTGTATTTTTGGTTTCTTGTCTGTTCCTTTAGTCTTTGTCTCATCCCTCTTGTCTTGTGTTTATTTATTCGTTTCCCCGGTTATGTCTCTGTTTATTCTCTCTGTCATGTTTGTTTTCGCTCTGTTCCCCTCTGCCTCCGTCGCTCTCTCTCATCTCTAGCTCCCTGGCTCGCTCTGTCTTTCAGCTCTTTCATGTATGTCTGCTGTGTGAGCTATTCTTTTCCCACGTCAAGTTGTGTACCTTAGCCTGCGCCTTAATGAGTTTCCTGTCTTATTTTGATGGCCCTTGTCTCATGTGCTTGTGTTTAGTTTTGCTTCCTGTTTCTGTGTCTTATTTGTTTCAGTTATGTTTCCTTGCTGTCTCCGCTCTCTAATCACCTGTGTATTCATTGTGTCAGTTCCCTGTTGTCCCTTGCTGGAACGCAAGTTCATCTCCCTCCTTGCTCCATGCTCCATGCACAGTTTAGGTTGTTGTTAGTCTGAGTCTCATTTTGCCTTTTGTTTTGCGTTTTTGTTTGATTTTCACCCAGCCTAAATTAACGGCTCACTTTTTGTTAAGCCCAGTCCTGTCTATAAACATCTGCAGTTCAGTCCTCTGTTCAAAGCGCAGTCTGCGCCAGCAGATCATGACAATCCTGGTCAAACAATGGCTCCAATATTCATCACAGTGTTACTTGAGGCCAAAGCAATGCCATCCAGAATAAGTACCTGATTAGGCACAATGTTTGTGAGATTTCTAGGGCCAATTATAATCACCTCAATTTTGATTGAAATCCAGGCCTTCTTCTTTTTACAACGTGTCTGCATGACATGGTTTAAGTAATGACATGCCACCCAGTTGTTTTATTTTAACCTAACAAACATGTCTTTGGACTGTGGGAGGAATCCAGAGTCCAATTCTGTTTTTCATTTATCAATGTTGTTGCAATAACATGAATTTATTTACCTTAAAAAATCCGGGGCCCTTGATATCATATTTTCAAAGTCAGCAAAAGAAAGTTTGTGGTCTCCGTCCAAATCTGCCTCCTCAATGGTTTTCTCACACACCAGCTCAACTTCTTCAGGAGTCAGCTCCTCCTTTGTCAGCTTATTCAGAGTCTTTTCCAGGTCCTCTTTGCACAGGTAATTATCCACATTGAAATCTATCAGCAACAGAAGTTAGAATTAGAACATTTTAATTAATGAAGTTCTATAACGTACAGATGCTTTGAAATGTTACCGTATATTTTAAAGGCGTATATGGCCTTGAGTTCTCTAGGAGCCATTTCACTCAGGACTGAAAACATGTCCACAAACTCATTGAAGCTAAGATTTCCCATCCCGTCCTCTGAGAATGACTCCACGATCCTGTTGCGGAATGGATTTTCCTGGAGAAAAAACATGATTGTGTTTAACTGCAGAATTTTGTTTACATCTAAACATAAAAATCACTCATCAAAAAAGCCCTACACATTTGCAATGGCAAACACAAGATATTTTAATAAGAAAACGATTTTCTAAAGCTTTAGAGCACCCCAATTTTTCTGGTTATTTATTGCAATTCAGGTCGTTCAAGTCCAATGAATAGCTTGAAATGGTACAAAGGCAAGTGGTGAACAGCAAGAGGTAGAAAAAAAAGGTAAGGTAACTCATAACTGAAAAATAATGTATGTTTCAGAATTATACAAAAAGTCCTTTTTAAGGGAACACAAAATGGGTTAACAAAAATGACGAGAAAAAAGGCAATTAACAATAAAAGAGGGTTGATGACACTTAAAAATGTAGGTCTTTCTACAGAGAAATTGCAAAGAAAGTCAAGGTGTCAGTAAGTAGAGTTTTCTCCACCATCAAAAGGCACTCAGAAACTGGAGCAAAATCTGACAGGAAGAGGTCTGGCAGACCCAAACCCACAACTAAATCAGAGGACAACAGCTTCCGTGATAGGTGGCTCACACGACAACATTTTTAAGTGGTGGTAGTAAGCAAGCCTCAGTTTCAACTGTGAAGAGAAGACTTCGAGCTGCAGGTTTGACAGGACGAGTTGCAACATGAAAGCCATTGCTAAGATGTCAGTATAAGACAAAGAGGCTTGCCTGGGCCAATGAAACACAGCCATTATGTAGTGATGAATCAAAATTTGATGTCGATTGCCTAATGTGAAGAGGAACATTATTCCAAAGCTTTGGAGCCACAATAAAGAACGCTCGGTCTCCTCTCAGTTTCAGCCGTGATTTGGGGACTGAGAGCAACAGCTCCTCAGCTGATGGGAGCAAACGAGTGGGGACATAGGGCTTCAGCAAATCAGACAAATATGCAGGTGCCAGATCATTAAAGGATTTAAAAACCAATAAAAGGACTTTAAAGTGAATCCTAAATTCAATTGGAAGCCAGTGCAGGGAGGCCAGAACCGGAGTAATGCGCTCTGAGTAATCAACTGTCAAATATGGAGGAGGAAGTGCGATGGTCTGGGGCTGTTTTGCTGGATCCAGGGTCAGTGACTTGTACAGAGTGAGACGCACCCTGAACCAATACGACTACCACAGCATTCTGCAGCGCCATGGAATACCTTCTGGTATGCGCCTAGTTGGTCAAGGTTTCAACCTACAGCAAGATAATGACCGAAAACACAAGTCTGGGCTATGCCAGAACTACATAAGGAAAAAGAACAAGGTAAGCTTAAAAACATGGAGTGGCCAGCACAGTCTAAAGACTTAAATCCCATTGAGCTGGTTTGTGATGAACCAGACAGAACAGTGAAAGCAAAGCAACCCACAAGTGCCACACATTTATGGGAACATCTGCAACAGATATGGGGAAGAACTTTCTGAAGAATATTTGACTTCTATTGTAGAAAGAATGGCACGAGTGTGTTCAGCTGTTATATCTGCCAAAGGGGGCAAAAGTTTAGAATACATTCTGGTCTTTAAACTGATTGATTGATGATTTCCTTTTTAACTTCAATTGCTTATTTTTAAAATGCTTTCATTTCAGAGTGCAATGAAACATTACACTGCATAAATTTCAATAAAAAACTGGAAAAATTGTGGTGTTCTAAAACTTTTGACTGGTAGTGCATATTCACGATATTCAAGACAATGCTATTAAATCAGAGTTTGTAGTTCAGTGAGTCCAAATAAGAAAGTGTTATTGCCCAGGGTAACGTTTGAGGTCAATAAATAATCAGCTAAATAGAAATATATAAAATAGGATGACAAATTTATGGTCATGAAGTTGTAGAGGTCCAATTGTGTCTTTAGTCTTCTCCATCTTTTTTCTGCTATCCTTATAACCCAGCCTTATTGTGACAGTTTTACAGACAAGGCCCAATCATGCCGAGAGGAAGAGTGCATCGTGAGTCTCTGTGGTAATACTCTGCGGGGAATAGGGGCTTCATATTAAAGGGTATGGCATTCATGCTTGTTTCAGAGAAAAGCTGAGGTAAATGTGGCTGAGTTGTCACAGTGTGCAAAATGGCATTTGAAATTTATTTTTGATTTACTTTTAGAATCAGTCAGAGCAATTCACGGCACATAAACTTTCAAAAGCTCACACAATGTAGTGGAGTACAGCCAGACGGGCGGTGTTAACAATCAGTTCTACACACACAAGCATACTGCTCACATTGACAAAACAGAGCTTTAAAACAGCGGTGGGGGGTTTACCTTTAATTCTGGCATGTTGACTATTAAGGCTAATGGGATTTTACAATCAGGTTCATTGGTGTAGTCCATTGGTACAAGATGTGGAGCCAGCTCATGGTATCTGCCATGCAGCCTAGGAAAAGAAAATAGACCTTTGACTTTTAAGTCAATACTTTCAGGGCATATCTGAGTATTCATCAACAGGGACGCTAGTCTTTGAGAACAAACTTACTACAATTAAACTAGATAAAGGACACTCTTTCGAGGATGCCAATGTTCACATTTTGGACAGAGAGGACAGATGCTTTGAAAGAGGAGTGAAAGAAGCAATTTTGTCCTCTGTGAGCGCCATCTTTGAACAGAGGCGGGGGTTTACGACACCAACTCTCTGCCATCTATAATCCAGTTTTGAGATCCCTCCCCAGACGCCTTAACGCCCACTCACATCCTGGGCCATCTGACCTCAGGAATTCGCATGATAAGGTGGGGCCAGGTTTCACAATGAACACACCCGAAACTCTGGCTGATTGGGACCCACACCCAGTTTCACACCTTGGCTCAGGCGATTAGAGGATCATCAGGGGGTCCTTTTGTCCCTCTGTGGGGGGGTTACTCCCACTAGGTTTATATCTGGGACTCTCCACCATTTGACCTTAGAACTGAAGAAGCTTCTCGGATGAGAGGTGAAACGTCTTCAAGTAACTTAAAGAAGTCCAGACGCTTTTCTTTGCAAGCTCCTTTGACAATGTCTTACTAAAAAAAGAAAAGAAAAAATCTAATCTAACATCTAGAACAAACCACAGCCAAAAGAGAGTGAAATGCAAAGATACAGTAAGTGCTCACTTCCGTTAACGAAAAAAGCGAGTCATTTGTGCCTGTCATCAAGTGGATAAGCAACAACAGGAGAGAAATTAAGCCGTCCAGTGAGTCGTGACAACTAGTGTTATCCTATTTATTTGATTTAGTTTTTTTAATGTACAAGTAGAAATGTGACACCCTTTTTGAATGGCTCTGAAAACGATACGGCAGTCAAAAGGTCAACATGAATTTCAAAAGGTTTACCTAACATACTACAGCTACAGCTAACGGACAGAACCTTCTAGATCGTCACTAACAAACACCTGCATGTAACAGCACTGTTTACAAATCATAAATCCACATACTTTTCCATTCATTGACTAAATGGTATATTTGCCTGTATTTCATACTTTAAAGAGACCAACATTCGACCTTTGTTGGATAGTGAATGAAGGAGGGAATGGAGCCATTACACTATAAATAGCAGCACTGTGCTACACTATGCAGATTTATATGCATTTTGTATATGAAATAAATCATAATCCACATTATGTTTACTGAGTGAAACATCTGTATATCCATTGTATGTCTGTTCTAGCTGCTCAGATGTCAAGCTGCATGTATTTCAGCAAATCTCTGAATCTTGTTCTAGGTCTGTTACCATGATTCAAACCAAAATATTACAACGAAATGAAGTGAAAACTTACAATATAGTGAAAGCTTTTAATGTTAACAAATATACATTTATAATTGGGGTCATACGTCACTGCACATAAGTTACCATTAACACTCAGTTGGAAACAATTTTATGACATAAAACAACACAAAGGCACCTACAAATATATGCATGCCATTTGGTAAGTTACTGGTGTCTCTAGGCCAAAACTCAGCGTTTGATTTACTGTAAATCAGCAAATCAGAAGCAAACAGCCCAACCAACTCCAGGAATATCAAGGTAATGTTGGTCATGTATGCTAGCTGTAGTGTAGTGATCTATTTTATACAAAGCGATGTAATGAAAGAATGGGTGAAAGAACTTAACATACAGTATTAATTGCCAAATCCTGACCCAGTTAAAGCACGCATAGTCCAAAGAGCAAAGAAATACCCCAGGAAAATAAAAGAAAAGCTTATAACAACATATTTGCATCTTCTTATGGTCAGTGTAAGTGGTGAATTTATGTGGTTTAAATGAAAGACAGTGCAACATATATCTGCGAGCGATTTTTCAGAATAAAAAGGAAAAAAAACCTCATCAAAGTCTTACCGCAGAATTTCTTTCCGAGTAAAAAACGTGCAATCCTGCAATGAGAGAAAAACAGCATGTGAAAAACAAATACTTTGAATTGAAGGTTTTATAGCACTGAACATGATGACAAATCCTTTAAGGTGCAATCGAAATTTGCATAAAATGCTCACAATGACACATCTGTGAAGAATCATTACTGTAAAACACTGAGCGGGGTGTCTGGTTTCTCCTAAACGATGATGCGTTTAAGTACATGAGAACATAATCTGCTGTTGTCTGACATGCATGTGCTGGCACACGCATTATCCAACGGCTCTACCGGGGGCACCTCAGTTTACATTTGTCTTTTGTATGAATTCTGTCTGAGCTACTCCCCTGGGTGTTAGAGTGCAGTCAGATGAGCTCAAGGGACTGCACCTTTTGCTTTCACCGATACACCTACTAAAGTCAACCTTACCTGCTATGCTCCATAACACGAGATAACAATGTGCTGACACTTAGAAATGCCATTACAGTCATGCTTAAGTTATAGCTGTTGGGTTCTAGATTCCCCGTTGAATGAAGCACGCTGATGCAGTATCCAATGATCTATTTGAGCCGAAGAAAGATATAAATTCAAGTGATACTCTAGAGATAACAACTGTTAGACAAACAGAAACGGTACTCTAGGAGTAGTTGAAGTAACCAGAGAAGCTCTTGAGAAACTGTGTCCTGAGAGTAGAGTTTCACGGCACATCATCGCTGGCTTTGGCATCAATTATTAAGCCCACAGCGAATCACATGATAAACCTGTGCATATGAGGATGTCTTTCTCTCTGGGAAAACCTGGATTTTTGTTACAGGGAACAAAAGGTCAGATCTTCTTAGATGATCAGTTTACATGATATCCTCCAGTTTGGAATGAAATCAAGACCTTTTGCTATCTGCTTATCAATATTTAAATAAAAATGTGGCCATAGCTGACGACACTATAGTAGGAAATTGTTTTTTGTCTGTCATAAATGAAACTGATGGGGGGACTAGGACCAACGAAACACCCTAGAGATGGTAATAATCAATATTTATAAAGTGACTTTCCCTCTTTTCAATATCTGAGAAAATAAAAAGATAGATAAAATGATGATTTGTGTTAGTCTAACAACAGGAGTGCAATAATCACACACAAAAAAAACATGTTTAATTTTTACTTCACTTAGCCTTCAAAGTTTTCCAGTGATGTGTTTATTGGCTGCACATAATTAAGACATTAAAACATTATTCACTTGAATGAATTGCTTGACATCCAGATTCCAAACACAGGTATGGACACAAGCTTACCTGATAAGCATCAAGCTGCTCGTCGGTAAATATCGTTTGTTTATTACCCATCTTGATCAAGTAATTTGTTGCTTGTACACATTCACAGCACTGAATGTCCAAAGCCCTTTCTCAATGAAAGGCATTTAGAAGGTCCGCAGAGACAAAGTCTCCGCACAAGATGAATTTATATCGTTGCAAACTCCTATCAAAGGGTATTGGTGTCCTTCCAGACGATGTCCTCCACGACTGCAAAAGTAGATGAAGTGCGTCAAGAATATATCTTAGTAATAAAGATTTTCGTTTAAGTCGGAGCCAGTGGATGTTGTCTGCTGACCCCATGGAGTGCAAAGTGATCTGTTTCCCCTCCTTAAGTACCCAGATGGTGTCCACCGGAGTCCAGACAAACCAATGGGACCGGAGCTAAGAAATGAATAAATAAAAAGGCCTACTTGTGAACTAGAAACTGCTAGCAACAGGAATGATGTAACCTCACCTTGGGGCCACTTAATTACACACTAATTAAACATCTTTTTTCTTCTATACGATCTTACACAATATTGCGAGCAGACTATTACTGATATCACTGTAAGATGCAATCTGTGCTTTAAACCAGTCCGCTATTGCTAAATTATAAAACTTGGGCACTTTTTTTGCTCGTTTTAAAAAAAACCAAAAAACATATACATTGTTAACCTGCAGTATGCACAGTAAATACAATGATAAAAGTTATTTTACAGGTGACTATGCCAAAGATATTTAATAATACAATATGTCCACCTCAGATTTAATACAGTACAAGCCCAATATTATATTTATATGTATAGTAATTACGAGAAGAAAAACTTGTTTTTTTTTGGCTCCGCTGCTAATTACCATTTGGTACAATGCATAACTATTCTGCTATATACGATATAGTAGTAGCATACCACAAATGCAGAAACCCCAGCATAGTTATTATCGACGGCACAGTAGCAAGACGACAACTTTTAATTGACCCGAGAACCTGTTGCACAGAAGCGGCATCTAATATATGTGCATTTCTTATTTATATATTTAATTAAGCAGGTGTGCAGCTTCTTTCAGCAGCCTGCACCGCAGATGATCGCCTCCCCCATCCCTCTGCCGGCTGCGGAGACTGAGGTCCGTCTCATCCACCTGCGTGCTATTTACAGCACGGCAGTACAGTGAGCGTGTGCTGCCTGCACACCAGGACAGATGATAATTTCACATTCACCCCACAGAGCCACTACCTCTCCTAACCACCACACTGGTTAAAAGTGTCGCTCTTTACCGGGTTAGGCAGCTTTGAAGGTAGCAAAGTTGCCCAGGATGGACTCCAAGCGAGAGAAGGACCAAGGTAAGTTGTGATGGGTAGCTTGTTGCTACGTTGCTTTGCTAGCCACTAGCTGCTTATGCTAGGTAGCTGTGCTTCCAGCTACAACATAACCCCTTTTTGTTTGTTACACAACATTTTGCTTATATCATCTCATGACAAAATAAATAAATAAAACAGACGGGGAACGTTTTTAATTATATTCAAGAACCCACCCACTTTCATCCGGCTGAATCATCCTCATGATTTAATTCACGCAGCCGCTGTCTCACGAATATAGCTAACATGGGCTAACAAAGTCCCTTTAATGCCTCTGCTAACAAGTTGTAACGTTATTGCTGGCAGACTGTGCGGTAATCTAAACATCGTGACCTTTCTTTCTGCAGGTGCAGTGTAAAACATTAGTCCCTGCTTACACCCAATCCATTCTCTGTCATATTTAAGGATATAAATCCATGTCTGTCAGTGCTCATTTAGTTTTTAAATAAGTAAATAAAAATTGTGCTGCATATCTGAAAATATAATAAGAGGATCACCAAGAAAATAACAGAGCCCTACATCAGCATCATTATCATCATCATCTCTGGTCAACCGTGATTTCCTTTTACCTCTCTTAATAAGAGCTGGCTGACACTGCCTCAGGGAATCAAGCCAAATATAACTCCCTGGGTTTCTTTTATTTATGCATACAACTGGCGAGATAATACCACCCAGCAGCACATCTGTTTGTGACCCTATCCTCAAGAGGACATCCCAGCGTGCAGCCAGATATGAAATTCAGAAACTGCTTGTCTGAATTTTTTTTTTGTCCCCTATTAGAGATGATTGCCTGGATTACTTGCTTATACTGTAAGCAGAACAGACACTGTGCTTCTAGCGTTTTCTTTTGCTGTGCTGACTCACGAACAATGACAGAGTGGGTGCATGCAAATAGAAAAATAAATATGCTTTGCTCTGCTGAAGTCTTGTGACTCGTATTCTTTCAGATGCAGACCATGAAAAGATAACTGCCGTGCTGCTCAAGTCACGTACCGGGGAATTTGATCTGGAGTCGATATTGTTTCTCAAATTAAGAAATCTCGGTAAGATGGAAATAATATATTAGCATTTCATTCTGTAAAATTTGCATTTTATTTATGATTTAAATTGTATGTCTTGTAGGTATACATGATCTTGGATGCACTGGGGAATGTATAAACCTGGAGAGACTGGACCTCTCTGGAAATAATATCACAAATTTGGCTCCTTTAGCATCTTTACGGCTTCTTTCAGTCCTCAATTTGTCTAACAACAGGGTCTCCAATTTAGGTACAATTTTAGAAGAAAAAGATTATTTATTTCTTGCATTATTAAGATGATTACTGTCATGAAAAGGCTTTAAAATTTCTCATAAATTGGTCACTGCTTTTGTATTTCCAGAGCCCCTGCGCACTTGTGACATTTTACAGAACTTAAATGTGGCTGGTAATATTATATCCAGGTAAGACTAAATAACCACTGAATGTCTTTTTTTTCCTGCAGGTGATTAAAAATGTGAATATGTCACAAGCGGCTGTGTTACTGACATAAAAGCAGAAAAGCTTTATGCATAAGTTACTATGTTATTAGGCATTTTAAGAGCATGTCTGTTTTGCTTTTCAACAGTATTGAGAACCTACACTGCCTTGTTTCTTTGAGAAAACTAGAAAATATACGTCTGAAAGACAACACATATAATTACACTAATCCAGGTAATTCTGGTGACTTTGAACATATTCCAGTGGATGGAAATTCTCGATTAATGAACTCATGTTAAGTTTCTTTATGGCAGTGTGCAGAAACTCTTCATATAGAGCGGTAGTTCTCGAGATGTTCCCCAATATCAAAGTCCTGGATGGTAAGTTTTTTTTCCCCATTCTTTGGACATTTAACTGCTCAACATTAACTTGTAAGAGTTTCGTGTTTTAATGAATTAATCTGCTTAAATTGCAGGTGAAAGAGTTGTTGGGCGTGGAAGCGATCTGTATCAGTTATGCAAGGACATTGATGATACCATAAAAGGTATATTTTAATGAACTTGTTGTCACACTTTGTTTACTGGATTAATTTGGTGATTGTGGCACCGCTGACAGTTGTGATGCATTTGTGTTTGCCTTTGCTTGTATAATATACCGAGACTGATATTTACTTTTTTTGAATGATGATCAGCTGGTCTGTACAAGAATGGACAGCTTGTTGAACATTCTGATTGCAAGCCATGGGTGGAAGATAGTTACTGGGAGATAAAGAGATCTAATAATGCCATTATTGAAGAAGCCTATAAGCAATTTAATGGTAAGAGAATATCTGCAGACCTGTTCCTAGATATCTAGCTGGTTGCTAACAGTGTTAGATGCATAGTGTATTCCTTGACTTTTTATGTATTTTTCTTTGTACAGATGTTCTTCATGAATGCAGACTCCTCAACAACAGAGCCACTCATGTGATTTCACAAACTGAAAGATCCATGAGCCTGAAGAAGCAACCAAAACAATATGCCATCTGAGCCGGCCTATTTCGAACACATTTGTGGGCAACATTTATCAACTTCTCTGCTTGTGTGATATACCATGGCTAATGTACTGTAGATTTTTGCAGATTAACCACTCTGTATCGAAATGCTTGACATTTACCATTGCCTGACACACGTGCGCTGTCTTGCAGTGTGTGGCATTTGCTGACCTTGTACTCATCCTATGCATTGGGTATTGGACAAAACATGTAGGTGGTGTGAAAACCTTTACCTGTACCGACAGCCCTCAGTTTGGTTCAAAGATGTCTTTTACTTGCACAGTGTGCATTTTGTACCATATTGTAGCCTCTATTTATGCTGAGAGCTGCTTTATGCTGCTTAAGATTTTCTATTGGTTTTCAGTAATTTATAGCTTTTTTCCATTTTGCATTGCTGGAGAATTCGGGAAGTTATTGTGTCCCATGCTGTGTGCTTTCTTTGCAAGTTCAATTTCTGCAAAAAGAAAAAGGTGATTTAATGATTGCTTCAGCTGTTTCTACTTGTTTTATACCATAAAGTTTATTATATGTGCAATCAAAATGTGTAAAATACAGTGCGTATGAAGCTTTAATGGTGTACCCCCGCTTTTATTTTTACTAATATATCTGTATATATTATACAAAACATGTGTGTGATATGTATACAACTCATACATATATTCATACAGACCCATGTTTGCTCACTCTGAACCAATGAACATGATTTTAAAACATAAAGCAGAAGGTTATAGCCTGCAGAAGTTGTTCCTCGGCGTGTTAGAAGCGGTCCACTGGCGCCACCTGCAGGCGGTAATAGTGTTGCAACGCTAAGCAAACATCCGGATGCATTCACTATTATTATGCTATTTACAATATAGCCCATATGAGAAGCTTGCATTTAGTTTTAGTTTAATTTAGTCTTTTTTCATTATCTTTATCCAGAAGTTAGAAAAGTAAGAGCCAAGAGAGATCCTGTCTTTGAGTTTTACATTCCATTTGACATAAAGACGTGATCAGCATACACAGGAGAAATACTTTCAATACTTTTAGTAGTTCAGTCGATGCAATCATAAGACAGTTAAAAATAACAATAAGTTCAGATTCAGCTTTATCTTTGGCCGCTTTACAGCACAGTTATTGGGACTTTTTGATAGTCAGCAAACACTTTATGGCTATCAGCACATTTTTAAGTTAAAGGAAATGAAATGGCACATATGACAGAGGCCAG